CTTGTTAGTCGGAGATAAGAGAGTCAATCATAGATCGGCTCGTCTGGAAAGTTTAATGTCTGCTCGGCAGGAATGGCTCAGCCGATTAACAGTACCGAATGAATATCGGATCGGAATATCGTTGCGGGACGTAGACGCGTTATTTGCAGAATCGTCGCTGGAAATTCTCCGTTAGGAATTGAGCAGCCGTCTCAACGGAATGCCCGAAGACGGGAATACATCCCGAAAGAATATATCGCCTAGAAGTAAATGGGACCTGTCTAGACCCGGGAGATATTTCAGGGGATACCCCAGAAAAGCCGAAAAAAACTGGAATACTTTCCGGGCGAATTCGACCGATTCGATCGAAATGACCACTACGGTTTTAAGGCCACTAAACCTCTCGACGTTTTCCCCTCCGTCCCGGTACCGGCCTCGAGTAAAACTTATTAATAATCCACGAGCATACCTAGAATGCCCGAAATTTGACACGGGCTTGGAAACGTCCAATCGATGCGCGATATCGACAGGGGTTAACATCGAAAGGGATTCCGATTCCGTAAAAAAATTCCAAAAACTAATCAAGATTCCGTACGTCCACCCAGGGGGGGAAATAAACGGGCCCGCCGATTCGAGGAGTCTAGCCGAGGAGAGCAATGTTCGGAAAAGTTTCAAATGTCAGTCGGCCGAATTCTCGGACGATCGAGTCGACGACGTAATTAAAATTCCGCAAACAAGAGGTAACGAGACGCAAATTTTCCTGCACCTCCTCGCGGCCGGAGGGGGTGGGAGCCGCGCGGGAAACGCGAGCTTTTCTCGCGCCTGCGAAAACGCGCCTCGCCCCCGGGAAATGCGCCTCGATGCGACGCGTTATCGCCAATGGAAATAAACCGGCGGAATTTCGTTAAAACCGCGCCAATTACGGCAAGAATTTCCGACGCCCGTAAGATTTCCCCGAGAATTCTCGCCCCGACGCACCTGGAAACCAGTGACGACGATTTCCTTCTCCGAGAGCCGATTGCCTTTAATTACATATAATAAACAATAATGCAATTGGCTGACAAGGGACCGGCCGATTTTCACATGACTTCGAGCGTTAAAGTTCATGGATTCATGAGTGGATTTAATTTTTACCTCGATCTCTGTCTCTGGTTTTATTCGGTCGCTGGGTGATGACGATTCCTAGATGACGTCCGTTAAAGTCGTAAGAAAATTCGAGGGAAATTGGTAAGCCGTTCCGGAGCATGGCAGGTGTGCCATCGCGTCGTCGTCTCGAGTCTCGTTAAGGATTTTCATTAGTTCGCCTTGGGGGACGCGAATTTTGTAACGCCCCTAACCCCCGCGATCCCTGCGTACCGGGGCAAGTTTTTTAAAGCTTCGAAACGGCGCGGCTTAACTGCAAAACGATTCAGGCTCGCGCTCGCGCAACCCCGTGGATCTAACGTGTGTTTAACCCGGTGGCGAAGCCAAGTGTGTTCGTGCATACATAAACATGGTACACGGTATATAAAGGGGCGTGTCAGCGCACGTAGTTCCAGAGCCGTATGCGACATCCTGCGGGAATATATTAAGGATACAATGCGGTGGCCGCTTGGCTTAAGTCGAGCCAAACGCCGGCACACAATTCGTGCATTCCGTTCGTGCCAAGCGGCCTCTTCGGAGAGGAATCCCTCCATCTAAATAAATAATATCGCCGATGAAAGAGCAACGCCGAGCGATCCGTTTCAACTATTCAATGGAAACACGACGCGAGACGATCCGACGATACCTGCCTATTTCGGATCCGGGTCTCGCATTATCCTTGAAAATATAACGATTAAAATATACGGGGCCAATATATGGCGGGATATTATTTTCTAAGGATATCAGGGAATCCTCTGAGGATCGGCAAAAATCGAGCGCGACGTTTCGTGGGACATTTATTCGAGTATTTAATTCCCAACGGGACGATTTTGGGAGAAGCGAGCTAGACGACGCTTTTCCCGTTTGTACGTTCCCCGTTTGGAAAAATCGTAGAATCGAGTGGAATAAATGTCTTGGGACTTCCGAATGGGAGATTTTCGGCTCGAGTTCCCTTCCCAGTATGGATGACGAACTCGATGGTGGTTTATGGACGACGGGAGGAATTTTTCGGGGACATGTCGCGCAAACGAGGACGCAAGTATGGAAGAGAAGAGATTAAAATTAATTCATGGGGAATGAGTTTTTAGATCTCCACGTGGGATTGAATATACATCGAGGGCAAATCTCGGGTTTAGTGGAATTTTTTTCAAAGCGCTTCTTCCGTGGCACTAGGAAGAAGATTCTTTGGCGAGCCTCCATTCGACCAATTTCCTCATGAAGCTAATCTAGTATCTTGAAGCGTTACTTTATCGTCCGGAATATCTTCCCCCCTCGAGACCGGTGCGGTTTCCGCGTCACGCGAGATTTTCTCCGATTTATCGGGAGAAAAAAAATGGCCGAGGAAGGAGAAAATGGCCCAATTCGGAATGCCCCATTGGAGAAATCGAATCGGGGACCAATCGTCCCGCGAATTCCACAGCCCGTGCTGCTTTTCATTTATCCGCTTTATTTATTTATCGGGGAAAACGGCTCGGTAACGCGCAAAGGGGCATCGAAAAATATTAATCCGTAGCGAGGTAACCTCTCGCGCAAATCGAATCCATCCCCCGGTACTTCGTCGCGTTTCGCGCAACGAAACTTTTTGCCAAACTTCGACGAGTCTCGCGTTTCACGTTGGACGGCAATAAGATGCACGGGCATTCCCGCGCTTTTTCCAACCCTTCCGATAAATCAATTGGCGCCCACTTTCGACGGGTTAATTCGCTGCGTGCACTTTCGCGAGAAACCGGGCTTCCCCCGCTTTTCCCGCAATTTATCTCCGACGAGTCTCAATGGCAGCCAGAAGCGATTCCACCGCCCAGACTTTCGGCAGACGATATCGAAAATATCTCGAATATACGGAAACAGAAATATATAACAGGAATTTGTCCACCCGCCAGCGAGATTTATGCCACCCGAAAATTCGTCCTTTCCTGGCACGAGCCGGTTAATTGTTTAGGGATTACTTTCCCCGCGACCGTGAGCCTTTAAATATTTAACAATCGCGTTTTAAAACGAAGCTTAATTGGTGGCCTCTCCCACCCATCTTATTCCGTCCTTAAATTCCCTTTAAATTCCCCAATTAAAATTAATTTAATACCGAGTCGCTTTTTGCCCGATTCGTTACTATATCGTCATTCATTCAAAGCCCTATTCCTCATTCATCCCGGAGGGGTAAAAGCGTAATAAACCGCATTAAAACGTTTCTATTAAATTCCCAGCTGTTGAAAACGCATTTTACCTAGAAAGCTCGGTAACACGGCGCGGAGAAGAATGCGAAACATTTTTTTTTCTTTCCCTCGATCGTTTCACGGTTCTCCGGTGTCCGCGATGTCCACTTTTGAGGTTAAGTGGAAGCGCGCATGCGCACATTACGGCCCCGGTCACGTGATAGATGGCGCGATTAGGCGCGCCTAAGGTCGCGAAGGTAATAATCGCGATAAGCCGGCAATAAAAGGGGAAATAGCGCCGATAAGAGGAAAGAAGAGGAAGTACGAAAACCTCTCGCCCGGCGAAGAGCGACGGATAAAGGGCGCCGAAAGGCGGAAAGAGAGAGAGAGAGAGAGCGAGGTAAAAGTTGAAGGCGAAAGTCGGGAATTACCTTCAACCCTTCCTCAACCTTTCGGCCGTCCCTTCCCCCGTAGTGATTAACGCGCGTACCACGCATTCGGGCGTCGATGCACGCGTGCACGCGCCCTTAATTATCCACCTCCGCGGAACTTCGCGTGTCGGTACCTTTATGACGCTTTTTATCGGCGGCCGTCTGGGACTTTTTCTTTTACGCTGAATCTTTACGAGGCATTATATCGAGCCGCGGGTGAACGCCGCCATTTTGGGTTGCGCGACTACGGTCTAATTAGAATTTCTTGGCGATACGCATCGCACGCGGAGTCGACGCAATTCCTCGCCTAGAGATTACGACACGAAAGATTCGCCTCGACCTACCGATACGGTTATAATCTGCGACTTTTCCGCGACGTTGAATTTTAACCAGCCCTCCCGAGTCGAGCCACGTTCGTCGCCATTTTGGACACCGCCGATGCGCTCAAAAATTCAAATTCTTCCTATCAGCTAAAATCACGGCTCGCTTTAATTCGGGCGAAACTAATCGTTACCTTTGGTCTCCGTGAACCACGGTCGTTAATTTACGCGGGCATCGGAATAAAAGGTTCCTTTAAATGTCCTAAATAATTATAAATCCCGACGAGAATATTGGAAATATTCAAGGAACGTTACCGCGCCGTCATGTAAATACGGCTTAAGCCCTCGTGAAAACGAGTCGCGTCGTCGTTATGCACAACGAGGAAAAGTATCGATCAAATATACGTAGTTTCGTCGGACCATTGAACCGTGCACCCAACGGCGCACTGTCAAGTGTTTTCTCAAGCTAACGCGTACATGCACGCGGTTCGATTATGCACCATTTTGCACAAAAAGAATTAAACGAATAATAAAATTACCACGTACATATCGGTGACAAATCTAACCTCCTTCCCGTCGAATATGGGTTATCCCGTTGTTCGTGGCGAAAATGAGAAATAAATTGAAATTATATCGACGCGCTTAGATTATGGATCCGGCAAGCTTGGAAAATGTCTAATTGAACGTTACAGCAGAGTCGGTCGACTCGGGCCAGAACGAGCCGTTTGTTCCAACTTTGAAGGAAGCCGCCAGCAGGGGATCGGGGAACGGAAAGAGAAAAGGGATTCTTTCATGCGAGAGGATAAAGAAGATCAACGGAAGGGGAGGGCTCGTACTAACTGCAGCAGACTGCGCGGGAGACGGCGTGGAAAAGAGCGAAAAGCTCGGGGAAGAGGTCGGAAAAAAAGAGCTTTCCCTCGAAGGGCCTATCGAGCCCGGAATCGAGCGGCGAAATCCGCGTTGCGAATGCCGGCAAGGCAGAGCTTGTGTCGACTTACCGACTCTCCATCCGGCACTTGCCCTCCCTCGCCTTGCAATTTGTCTTGAAACCCTCGAAGAGCTTGATACACGGCTTACCACGCTGACACACGCTTAAGGCGTGATTACACGTCGGCAGGGCGTCTATCGAGTAGGGGTCCTTGTCTGAAACACGAGATTTCAATGGTATGACACGGCGCTATCGATACTCCGACGTTCGATCATAAGGCGTCGCTGACGATCGAACGTCTCGTCTCTGAAATGGCTTCCTTAATAGTTACGGCACAAAGGGGTGAAATGGTATTAAAAGTGGCCCGAAATCATTTTTCAGACCGTTGGAAATTTACATGCAGGTTAAATACTTAACTAACATTGACTTTCGAGGACCGCTCCCGAGAAGAAACTGGGAAGAAGCGGATAGAACGAAACTATAAATCGTGGAGTAAAATCCCGAGACGTTTAGGACCTCGAGGAGAGGGGGCGATAATGATAATCCATAAAGAGGAGGAAAAGAAGCGAGGAGGGGTCGACGTTCTTCCGGTCGACTCGCGAGGAGGGAAAAGGAGGAAGAAGCGCATCGGGAATTATCCGAGAATCGTTCGAAGCCTGAAAAGACTCGACGGCCCGGACGAGCGAGGGAGCCCTCGGAAAAATGAACAATAGGGAATGAAGAAGTAGCACGACGCCGCCGTTAGAAGACGAGAGACGCCACGGGTTAAAGTCAAAGATAGAAGTCGGCCTTTTGTTTTCTTCGCTTCTGCCAGTTGACAGAGCGCACCCCGTCACGTGTGCGCTCCACTTATTTCCATTGCGCCTCCATTGAGGGGGAAACCTCGCTCTGAGCGAATTTTCCGACATTTTCTAAATCTCGATACGTTATCATAGACTGTAGAAAATACACGAACAGAAGGAACCTTCCGACCACCATGCCTATTTTATCATTCGATATTAATTTTTCAGCTCGTGGCATGCTCGAAAGGGGGCTCGTTATGCCAAAATAACGAGGGTTGTTACAACGAACTCGGGGCAGATTGTTACACGGCAACAATTCTGCCCTGCGCTTTTAAGTAACCTTTATTTCGGTTATTTCTTCCTCTACTCTCCGCGGAATGGGGAATAAAAGTGGCGAGAGTTAGATTCTGCGCACAAAGTGCCAGAAATGGGTTCATGAAAGCTTTGGGGGGTGTAACGGGTTTTATGTTCGCGGGTGTACATTGTTCGGTTTATTCGTATGTCCGTTTTAAAAATGTCTTACGTTGTAGCCGCCTTCTCTACTCCTTTGTTGGTTTTTGATGCCTTTTATGCAGAATTTCTAGTGTAAGGACGTTGGGGAGAGTCGTGGACTCGTTTCCGTTGTTGCCTCGTTGGAAACGTCGCGCTCGGGAAAGTCGCTATCGTTTTGGAAATTGGGGACGGAAGGGTAATGATTCCAAAGTTTGGGAAGGAGAGGATGAAGTATAAAATCAAGGGTTAGAAGACGTTAGCCTGGTTTAGAGCCGACAAGTCTCGTGCGCGTAACTTCCTCTTGACTTTACTTAAGCGCTCCCTAAGGGGACCTTGTGCCGAAACTTCGAAATTCGACAGTCTTCGAGATACATTATTTGCATTATAACATTGAGTTACCAACGTTCGAGGCAAGCTTCGTACAAATTTTCCTCAAGTTACTAGCGCTCCCTCGACACTTCCTACGCTTTTCCGACCTTCGGTTAAATCCGCCCTAACGATTTCAATCGGCCCGAAATTCTGAAAAAGGCTTTTAGCTCTTGACTCTTAAAAAATCAGTCACGTAGAGTATCTACATATATTTCCTGTAACAACGCATAGCGTACTAAGTGGGAAATAACATCACGTAAAATCCGAAACTCTTCCAACAGCCTGACGATTTTTAAATTCCAAATCCGAAAAGTTTATCTCAGGAAAAGAGAGAAACGAGATTTAAGTTACCGCCTTTCCAGGTTTTCAGTTTCATTCCGATGCTAATACATCCTGCTTCCGACCCTTCTTGTACTTCCATCCCGTCGAACTAGGACGCGAAGAGAGGTCGTTTCATTTTGAGCATTCGAAAAGTTTCAAATCGAAGTGCCGGAATCTCGTTTTCTTAGAAGCAAAGTGAAGAAAGAAGTGATTCCCGGATTATTTAGGGCGCGTCTCTACGTACGACCGATGTATTCCCCGTCAGTATTGTATCGGAAAATACGATTCCCCCCATCTTCGATTACAAAAAGCTCGACTGTATTCCTGACTCTTTCGACCGTAAAATAAAACTTTAGATAGAACATCCACTCGTTCCAGTTTGCGAGCCGAGTGCCGAGGGAACTGATTGGAACTCGTGATGCTTTCATTAATTAGCAACGGACTTCAAAGATCTCCTTGTTATACCTGACCATACTTATCGACAGGACGTACAGGAATAATTCAACAAGCCACGGCGAAACAATATCGAGTATGCACATTGTGTGTCAATAACAGTGACGGTAAATATCCGTGGAAATTTGCTCCTCCAAAGAACCGAGCTCAAGCAAATCGTTCGGTATAGGAGGACGCATCCAGTCGTGATTTTCCTTTTTCTTTCAAACGATGCCTAAACGCAAGTCTCCCGAAAGACTCGATTTCATCTCATCCTGCACGTACCGGGAGAAGGAAACGAAAGTGGAAAACGGAAATGGGAGGAGCGAAAAAAGAGCAGGAAGAAGAAAATTGTCGGCGAACGAAAGTATAACGGAGTACAGGAAAGGGGTTAACAAGTCACGTAATTAAAACGCTCAAATCCAGCCGCGATTGCATTTCGAGAGACAACAAAAACAACCGCGAGGAGTCGAGTCGGATGGATTTCCGATTTTGAACATTTTCCAGAATTAATTCAATCATTTCTCTCCTGGCAGGAGGTAATGGGCAAATTTTAGCGACATCGATGTAATTTCAAACTCTCGTAAGTAATGCGATCGGCTCGTGTTTCTTTTCTTTTTTTTTTTTTTGCGATCAAGGATTACCGCGGATTCCCGAAATTGCAGTTACAACTCGGACGCAACCGAATGCACGTAATGAGATTAAACGTCACTCGCATTTTCGAAAGTGTCAACGAAGCCCCGAATACCTGCCACGTGATTTTATTGAACTTCCAAAGCGTAACTCGTTCCTCTGTACTAGCCCTTTCTTATCCCACGAAGAATTGAACCCAACGGGAAATCGTTGAAAGTCAGAATCCTTTCCTGCGCGTAGCCAAAGTTGCTATTGTTCGCAAAATCAGACACCTGCAATACCACGGCGTCTGAGCCGGAGGAAGGGGGGCGGGGGAATGTGTAAATTAAGACGAGGGTGAAAACCCTTAACAAAAGTTGGACAAGGAGCTCGAGGAAGAAGGTTGTCAGAATGAAGGCTCTGTTGAGATTGAACAATGGCGCCGGTGCAAGGAGAGACTGCAGTTCCCGAGGGACGTGGGGGGAAACGGATGTTAATGAGCATTAAGGAAATATTCTACATTTTACCTCTGACTCGTTAAGCCACACACTAAAGCATTTTACTCGGGTTCCCGTGCCGGAGAATTTTCCCCCGTGTTTGTGTACGAATCCGGTTACGTTTGGCGCATCTTTACGAGAGCGAGTCGCGCGCTCTGAAATTCTTCGCGTTTGTCGAAATTAAGCGAGCGCTTTAAGGAAGGACGTTTCCGCCCTTTCACGCATGAATTTTCCTCGATCTTTCGATAAACGCCAGTTTACAACAACGCCACAATTTGCGAGGAAATATCTCTACTAAACGAAACGGTAATTACTTCGACCACGGTCCTACAATTGTTATCAGGATTATTTTTCTAAAAAGGATGAGAATTATCCGCGAACCTCGCGCTCCCCCGCAATATCCGATACATTAGGAAAACACCCGAGATGATTCCACGGGGAGGTCCTGAATATTCATTGAATTACAACCCAGTCAAATACATCTCTCCTGCGAGAAGACTCGCGATCCGCTGACACTCGCTATACCATAACGCGGTTTAATACTCCGTGTAGCTCAAGAGAAAATTTATACAGGAACCATGAATTCAAGACCCGACACGTTATGAATTCCAAGCAGTATCAATTTTCGTGAAATTTCATGACTCGGTGTAATATAAAGGAAAAGTTATACCTTGTTTCCATTTACACGGGGCATAAAATCGTCCCCAGGCTTTCGGCCTCAAACCGTACAACGGCAGTCTTCGCGAGACATCTTTTGGCTCTCGTGCCGAGACTTCTAACGACATATGCAAACGACATCCGCAACCATCCTGCAAAACCCGGTTTCATTTTAAAGTCCGAATACCACCTCTAAGAAATTCGCTCTACCCGTCGATTAAGCTTTCGGGAATTTTTTTTTTAATTCGCAATTATTATATCCCTATCCCTTAAGGCAAGTTACCTTTTTCCTCGACGTTTATCTCTCGTTGCGCTCTGGGGAACCTTTCGAACGACGTCCCCGATACCGTTTTCGAACTGTTGCGTTTGTAGGTTAGAGGAAACTACTACCGCACGGAGCGCCCGTAAAGCTCGTCTCGCGACTCTTCATTGAAAAGCAGATTAAAAGCTCGGCTGATTCGTGCACGAAGACGCGATACGCGGAGCTAAAGTGTGCCCGTAATTTATGCGAAGCCCCGGGAGATTAGCGGGTCCCTCTGAAAGGAGGAATCCATCGGCAACGAGAGGCGACCCGATCCTCCCCGTTTCCGGATAAATGTATCCCCGACGAGACGAGATCTAAAGAGGTGGATCGAACAAAGATCCACCCAGGATTGTGCCATTCAAAAAGAGGACAATCGGGAAGTTGTGCGGAATAAGGACGCTTCCGCGAAAATGCCGCTCAGATGCATTGTCCAAGTTTCCGTCAACGTGTGGAAACTCGAAGTAGGATTTCGACCTGGAGGGAAGCTGCCGATTCATCGACCGATTTAAATGCACTAAATGCGCGAGTGAAAATTTAATCCAGTCTGTAGATTAAATTGAATCTTCTAGGTCATTAGTTAGGATTATGATTAATATATTTTTCGGATGTCGCGATCGGAAGAAAATGATAATTAGAAGACCAGGTCTCTTCACGCGAATTGGTGCTTCTATCGTGCGACATCCGTCGATTATTTCGAAAATTGGGGTGACAATGATTCGCGACACGAAGGCTCATCCAATCAATCAAGTCGAGACCCCGGATCGTTATCTGCGGCCAAATAATAACCTTGCGCTAATAACTAATGGTAAGAGAAGAAAGGACCCCCGGTGCGCATAATTTTAATTAGATTCTCGGGTGAGATTAGTCGAGGACTTCGCACGAAAGGGAAAACCTGCCGATTCGAGAAAAATTCTGCTCGAGGTAGGTCGAGATATTTTCAAACTTGACGAGGCGATCCGAAAAGGATCGATTTGTAATTTCCTCGTCACAATGTTTGTACAAAATTACATGACACGCCGAGAAGGGCCGGGGAAAGGTATTGAAAGTATCGGGGGAAAAGAAAAATAAATATGAAAGGTTAGCGATATTATGGACTGTCAGTTTGTCGCGATCGCGCGTGACAGAACAATTTTCAGTCAGGAAAAGTAGTAGCCGATTGTTTGCGTCCCGGGTAAATGATATCGGGGAAAAATCAATAATATCGGGGAAAATAAAGCACCCCGTGTAACGGCTACGAGTGATGAATCACTCCGTGAACAGTTGCCCTATTGTGTACACTTGTCACGCGATAAATCGCACGCGTGAATCTACCTCCTAGTAGGATAATTTGCGGTTCATGTGGGACGAAACATCCCATATTTCCCAGGTAGAAGAAAAATTTCATTCAACGAAGGAAAACGTTAAGTGGCAAATTGCAGAGCGTTCCATCTTGGGATTCACCCCAGTCGGAGACGACAAAAATCAATTAACTAATTTGTCGACAATATTTACAGGCATTAATTCCGAAGGAAATATTCTACAACATATGAAATGAATAAAAGTACTGTTAAAAAAATAAAAGAAACGCGTATCCCGTTTAGTAGGCTAAATGGGATACCTAGAAGTAGGTACGATAAGCAGAAAATGTGAGTCGCTTTATGAACTGCGAGGTTTCATCGCGATGAGCGAACTGTCAGTCAGGAAAAATGGTAGGACGATTGTTTGCGTCCCGAGGCAACGATATCGGAGAAAATCAATAATATCGAGGAAAATATAGAGCCACAAATAACGGTACGAAAGATTAATCACTCCATGAGCTGTTACTCGATTGTATACACTTGTCACGCGATAAATCGCACGCTTGGAAACTACCTACTAGAAGGATAATTTGCGGTCTAGGTGGATGGAACTTCCCGTATTTACCTCTCTGTCCTGGAAATGTTCATTTAACGCAGGGAAATTTATCAACACCAAGAAAACTAAAGCGTTTCGTGTAATAACGACGCAGGTTCGGTGACACGAGCCTCCATCCAACTGCCTCCACTTGTCACGCGATAATCCACAAACGCGGAAATTAGCCAAAGTATAATTTGCTCCTCAAATGGGATTGACGCCTCCCGTTTGCGACTGCATCATACTTTTTAATTAAACGCATACAAGTTCGGCCGAAAAACGCACGACCGCGCCTAGTACGTGCAGTACCGACATCTTGAAAACGTCGACGTTACCCCGACCCCGGCAATTAGGGTGTACTTATTTAATCATTGCCTCCCAATTTTACGAAGTCACCGAAAAGTTCCTCTGACACGCCTATGATCGACTAGTGCATTTTTTCGGATACTTCAATGAGAATTATTTCTTTGGTCGGAACTCGATGCTTCTTCGATTATTCGCCCGGTTAAATAGTACGTACTCGTTACATTCACCTCTTCCTCTGCGCACTCGGTGGCTCGGTTGCTTCAATTAGGAAAAGGCACAGGGCTCGAAATAGGAGGACCACCCAAAGTTTCCTCGGGCAAGCTCATTGACACTCGAACGATCGAAGGGGAGCACCTCGTCAAAGGGAAGCTTCAAAGTCGAATTCGAAGTCGAGCCTTGAGCGGAGCTTTCCGGTATCGGAAAGAATGGCCGAGGGTAACTCGTCTTTATCGAGTTCCTTAGAGAACTCCAGTGGCATCGCTGGAGAGCCCATAACAGAGGTTTCAAGTAAGTCGAGAAGTTCGATACCGAGATGAAGTTCGCGTCGTGAAACTTGAATCGCGCCTCTCGACTTCCCTCTCTCTCTGGTTCCCTTTCGGAACGCACGTACCTCGATCTTCCTATTTTCAAGTAAAAGGAATTCCGGAATAGGAGGACCGTGGATTGACTCTCCTGACGAACGTAAAGGCGACGTCATTTCCATCCGGAAATCTCCCTAAGTCGATTTAGCCATCTCCCCCTCGAAGCGACAAATCGTTCGGCAAAATGCGAAAAACGGCGAAAATAATAATTTTCACTTCCACGTCTCGAGTTCATTAATCAGCCATATTCCCTGGGAACATTTTTATACCTCATCCTCAATTTCCATTCAACTGGAATGTACCAAGGTTATGTTAACGACCATCTCCGAGACCAGTGCCCAGGGTCCCGAGGGATGGCATTGCAACTTGTTGGTTCGGTCAGCTGGGGATGGCCGTTAAATCGGAATTAATTGAGCGCACCTAAGTGCTAGTATCGCGAGACGGTCTGCCACGATAGCTCCCAGTGACCCAAATTTTGACATTTCGAGACAAGGTCCTCATAAGCTGACCACGATACTCCTTAACATTTTTTATTGAATAAGAAAGAGTGCACCAAGCTAGCTGGAACTCCGAGAAACTTTCCCACAGCCTCGAGCATCTACCTCGCGTGTCCAGGACTGACTCGAGAATTGAGACGTAGGCAATAATTTCATAGATTCTTCCGAAAGTGGAGAACTTTGTCATTAAGAAGTCAACGTAATTAATGAAAGCGGTTACAAAAGAGAGTTATAAAAGTCGACTTCGATTAAGCCGCGACCGGTGGAAAGTAATTTAAACAGAGAACTTTCGTAAAGGTCTCGATGATGGTGTTGGAGGGGTTATGAATGTCGCCGTGCATGTATTTCTGGAGACCGAGAAATAACCGGAGGAGTACGGAGATATTCTTAGAATTTTTTTTACTTTATAGAAGATATCGTTCAAAAACCGGGTCGTCTGGGAAAAGGAAACTCGAATTGTAGATGCCGGACGTAGGGCTCCGGAAAGACTATAGGAACCGGGAGAAAGTTCCCTTGCCAAGACGCAAACTTCATTGCAATACCGGACTTTGCGACGTGCTCGAAACCTCCATTACGGGTTCCCTGGCGGTGTTGCGAGAGTTCCCGAGGGACCTCGGGAAGATCGGTTACCTCGGCTATTCTTTCCGATACCGGAAAGCTGCGCCCCAGGATCGACTCCTAGCTTGACTTTGAAGTGTGAACTTCCCTTTGACGCGATGCTCACCCCGTTCGTTCGAGTGCCAGCCACTCGGGAGTTAGGCGATTCTCCTATTCCGAGGAACGTAAAGAGCCGATCTTCTTTGAAATAATCGAACCTTGGGTTGCGCGACGAGGCAGGTCTCGATTTTGTTGCCACCATGCGAATGCGAAGGAAAAAAAAATGCGAACGCCAGGTCCTCGTAATTTATTTTCCCTGCCTTGAATTTTTTCGACCTTTCTATAAAAAAAAGTCTTCTCGGACATTTGATTCCCGAATGAACAGATTTTGATCGAAGGTGTATTTCGTCCTGGCGGTTCGGTGTCTTTTGGGAAGGATAGGTTTGCGCCGTTTATAAAAGTAAGCAACGTGTGGATGTAACGGAGTAGAAACAATAGCGCGCCTCTGGTCATGTTTCTTGCGGAATTCGGAATTGCCGGCAGAGATTGCGATTCTTAACGCGTACCTGGATATGGATACGTACCTTTCTTAAGTACATAAATACAGGGGTGGTCGAAGAGGAAGTCCCTGAAACTGTTGCATTCCGGGTCGACGTGCGGCTCTCTGCAGAGACACGTCGGTTTGAAGAAGGGAAAAGCCTGCAACGTGCGCAGAGCTGCTTGACATTTTGTCACCGTCACCGTCGAGCACGCCACTGGAATGACAAAAAAGAACCCTTGCATTAATCCACCTTGAAAAGTCAACCGCATTGGAATAATTCACGGGCAGATCGTTAACGGTGACTCTTTCTAAAGGAAACTCATATCCTAATTCTATCCCCTTTCCATGACGCCGTACAGTTTCGGGTGGGCGCGATTAACGAAGGGGGACTGCAAAATATTTGGTAGAAGCTTCAGCAATAATTCAGCCGAGCATCGTCCAAGCGAATTCCTTGGTGCATTCCGCGCCGCTGCTTTCCGCCCTAAATTAACTCATTACTATAGTCGGGTGCAACGATATTTACTAAATACTCCCCCGTCGAAGCCGAAATTCCACGGCGGAATCAATTAGGGAATCTGTCGACTTTACGGAAACGTTGAAAAGGTGGTAAAATGTGCGAAGAGAGGTAAAAGAATACCGTAGGAACGCATCGATGCCTCTCGTTGAAGCCATTTTCCGATCGGAGGGCAATAAAATGAAAATCCACGAGCGTGCGCGGCGACAAAAGAATTCCGCCATGGCGGACCTTACGCGAGGCCGCATCGCCTCCACCCTTTTCGACCTCATCCCTTCCTTCCTTCCTTCCTTCCCTCCCCGCCAACCTTCTACAGACAGACTTCGACCTCTTTCACATTTGTCTCTCGCCCCGCCTTTTCGCGTTTGCTCGGGGCGTCCGGTTTCCGCCCTTCCTGTTGATCCCCCGCCGCCACCCCCGCGTTCAACAAAACCTTCTCTTGATTTCGACACGATATCCCGAGAATTCGGAAAATCCTACCTCACGGCATCTCGTCTCTCGCCGCTAATGCTGGGAAAAATAAGACCGCGTAGAAAAAAAAAAATCTCCAATGGTTTTCCATTTTATTCATTGATCCCCTGCCACGATTACGCTTTGCAGCGATTCCTTTTCGCTCTCATCGGAATACCGCGCTGAACTCCCCCACTCGATGCGATTTATTTCAATTAATGACAACCCTGGTCGTACCTCGCGTTCCATATGCTTTCGACGGGCGCATACGAGCAAAAGAGACAATATATATTTCGCGTGGTGCCGCGGCAAAAAGAGGAACGAGTCCTCGGGACCGAACAGTGTCCTACTTTTCAACTAGCCAAGCCACAAAACCCTCTTGCCACAACAGAAATAGTCGGTGACACCGACACCCTCATACTTCCCGTTAATTGCCCTCTCGACAAACCAAAGACGATTAGCAGAACTTGACGCAGAGGGTGCAACGAGGTGTAATGGCACCACCTCGGAAGGGTTATCTCGCGATCCCTCGAGGGTGTCCCGGGTCTATACAATCGCGCGAAAGGTTTTAAAGTTAGCGTTTCCCTTCTACGCTTGACCCACCCCCCTTTGACGTCGAAATTATCAAATAGTTAAATATTAATAACGAGTACATATATTTTGCCCATCTAGAACGAGGTGCCCGGAAGTATCGAGTTCGGGAGAGTTATCGGGAGATAAAGGGGTGGCGGTAAATTCTCTCGGTCAGCGGAACACCCCGTTATTTTTCAGCCCTCCGTTTCTATCGAGGGGGAAATAAATCAGAATCGAAGAGGTCGACTCGTTCTAATTGCCCTCTTGGCAGACGAGGAACGTATCGCGGGGTGACGCGAGGGGAACAATGGGGTATAATGGCAACGCCTCGAAAGGGTTAACTCGCGATCTCTCGGGGTGTCTCCGAGCCAATAGTCGAGCCGAGCTCGCGGGGTTGCGGGGCTGGCAAGGGATGGCGGAAATCCCGAGGACAAATTCGGTGCAACGCCGCGCGGAAGCCCCTTTAGGAGGATCATCCGATTGAATGGAAGGGTCGCGTTACCCCCCCGAGGGGATGAAAGAGACGCCGAGGAAGCCCTCGGCGACGCCGCCGACGACGACGACGACAATAACGACGAAAACGCCCCCCACGCTTAAACGGGACCGAGTAAGCCGGGGATCGTTGCACTTTCCCTCCCAGCGAGACGGTTTCGAGTCTCACCCTCTAACCGGCACCGGAACGTCCCGGCATGCCGGACGCGACGTGCCGGTTGCAAACTTTCTCACTTATCGACGCCATATCGCGGCGGCGGCGACGTCGCTGCGGGCGCGGTCAATATTCGCTCGAAATGCTCCGATTCCACCGACAAGTGCCTAAAAGTGCCACCGAGAAGAGCCTTCGCTTATTATTTGATGGGAAGTTTCTTTTGCATTAATCGAGGCGTCTTTCCGGGGGATGGCAATTTCGACCCTTTCCCGGGAGCTCCTAAGGGTGACATTCCTGCAACACCTCGGAGAGCCCGGAACGTCGCGTGGGCCGCCGCGGCGCGCGAAACTCGCGGCGCTTACCGGCCATTTCACTTATCGCCCTCGGAATTCCGAAACTGCCGAATACTTTCGCGTATTCTCGAGATTCGTCGAGTTTTTACAATGCTCGTAAAGCGCGCGTTAACGTCCCAACCGTTTCCTCGAACCGCATCCGAGCATAAACCGCGGAAAATGTATGCGACTCCTGGCGCGGTCAGTTCGCTCGCTCGAAAGCGTAATTGCGGAATTTAGAGTTCCACCTTCCTCCTCGCAAATCGGCGAAAATTCGATCCTAAAGTTCCAGCTCTAATGTATCATGCTCGTTGCGTCAAGTCCGAGGCCGATTGATGAGCAAAATTCGATATTTCTGCCCGATACGATTTACGGGCCGAGCGATAAGTTTCAACGAGGATTACCGTAGTTAAAGAAGTTTGTCGAAAGCAAAATTTATTAGCGAACCGTCGGTTTGAGGTTTCATGCGTTATGACTTCGAAACGACGTTATAACGTATCGGGCCACGTAAAGTTCCTCGTTGCCCTGTAAATCGCCGGATGTACGACCGCTTGCAGTCGAAAATCGTTGCAAAAAAGATTCCTGAAAATTTCGAGGTCGCTTAAATATAAAAAAAAATATAATAAATTAGTCGATTAAATTTGTTCACTTTTGCAAAGGGGTGCCGATTTTTGTCTGGTTCTCTTTCCTGTTTTTAAAGGACCTCCCCGAACTCGGTCCCAGGACACGTCCTCGGATGCGGACGTCAGGAGCCGCCCTAGTCGAGGAGGATAACGATCGCGGTGGAATAATAACCCTTTGACTAATTAGCAAGACTTTCCACAGGTCGTGCGGAAAGTTGGCAGCCCGCAAAATGGATTTCCCATCTTGGCTGGTTCCCGAGCCCCCGATCCCCGTTAATATCCATTTCTTCCCTTCGGCCACCATCTTGGCACCCGGGGTGCATCCCTCGCTCGACCCTTTCCTCGCCGCCATCTTTTCCTCTCGGTGGCCACCTCGAACTCCTCGCCGTGTCGGGAAGCTTTAACTTTCCCGGAGAAGCCGCGGCTCTATCTTAAATTAAACATTAACTTCGACGTCAGGGAATTTTACTTTTCACTTTGTTACACCGGTCCCTCGGCCGTTATTCCCACGTAGGAAATTCTCTTCATCCCGGGGAGAGATCGGCCAACTTTTCACGATCGAGCTCCGCACGCTGCGAAACCGCTGAGGATCGTTAATTCACACTCTCCGTTATAATCGCCGAGGGGAAGTTAACGGGGAACTTAACCGAATTTAACGCTCGCGTTACTTTCGCATATATAATCCCTTCGTTCGTAGAATTAGTCGAAGGAACGAAAGTGGCCGTTCCAGATTTCTACCTTCCTCCCCTTGTCCTAATCGGTAACGGAGATAATTCGCCCTCGACCCGGCGAAGCGAAAACATTTTCCCCGGAATAATACCGAGCCAAAATCCTATTTTCACAGTCGGGGGAAGTCAAAGAACCGTTTCTCCGATCGAACTATGGAATTGGATGGGTGCTTCCTTTTTGCTATCCAAGCGGATATTTCATCGCATCCATGGAATCGTTACGCGACTCCCATTTTCAATTTAAATACCACTCCCTCGAAAAGGCACATTAAATTACTTACCCCCTAGAAAATCGCATGTCGAGCCTACTCGAAAGACTACAATCGACGTACCTACCGAATCCGAGTCCCTCAGGTCGCAGAAATTTCGGAACCCTCGGAAGTGTCCGAAACCTCCGGAAAATCGAAACGATCGAAGGGTCCTTCCCAGTCTTCCGACTTTTACGCGAAAAGAGACCAGAGGTCCCCCGATAAAAGCGGTTTCCACCAATTGCCGTATAGTGGGGCAAGAAAGTGAGACAAGAAAAGGCCGGAGGGTGTTCGCCGTCTCGAAATCTCTTCCTCGATCGAGGGACAAAATTGGATCGGCTTCGGCAGGTTCGGGGATGAAATTAGAGCCCGCCGTGGCTCGTTTTCGTGGGGCTGAAGGATCGCGAAAAATTGGCAAATCGGGGGAGGGAGAAGGCTTTATCATTTTTCCATTCGGAACGACGGCCCGATAGCTGCGACGTCGACATCTGGATTCATCAGTTATAACTCGGCGCAGTCCAGTTATTGCGAAACTTAGCGACCGTTTCGGCAGCGCGATACGAGCGAGAGCTAATTTCGCCGGGACACGTCCAAAGCGTGACGCTAATTATTCTCGCGATGGTACACAGACCGACTGGTTTCGAGCCGGCTTGTTCTATGGAGATGCAAACGTGTACACGGGGTGGCACGCCCCGGTGGAGTCGCCCGATACTTTCCGATCCCCTCAAACCGTGAAAATTATCCGGATAGATATAATTAGGGAAGGCTTTATATTTATTTCATGGCAATAATCTAAATAAACGAATTACTCATCGACGAAATTTCCCAGGTTCACGGGCGCCTCTTAATTAAAAATTGCATGATAATTGCTCGGGGGGGGCAAATATCGGCGATTAAAAAGTATTGCCGTTCGGATTTATGAGGTTTCTAAAATAGCTGTGCAAAAAAGGGAACTGTGGAAAAGAGGAAAATTTGGTCCCCATTCCGCGATGTGTGGCTCCCCGTAGGGCAAAGAGTCCGTTCCGAATTTGGAGTCGATTCGAAGGCACACGGAGCGCCGTTATTTTGCGTTTCCAAGATGGTGGCCTGGCGGAAATGTT